CTGGGTATACAAATGGTGAAGGATTCCTTGCACCATTTCGAGGCCAAAGATATCATTTGAATGATTGGAGAGAAAGACACATGCCTACCACTGCTGAGGAATTTTTCAATATGAAGCATTCTTCTGCTAGAAACACAATAGAGAGAGTTTTTGGCTTGATAAAGACTCGATGGGGAATCTTGAGAAGTTCTTCATACTATCCTATAAAAATTCAAAATCGCATCATCATGGCATGTTGCTTACTTCATAATTTCATAATGACATAGATGAGGATGAAGACCTTGTAACTACGATCGAACCTTCTACCGAATGGACTACTTTTAGAAGAAACCTTGCTACTAGTATGTTTAACACATGGATAGCGCATAGAAACTCTGCATAATTTATTTTTTATATTGCGAGTGGAACAATTTTTGTTAGTATGTTTATATTGCACTGTATGTGATATAATTTTTATTGATTACATCTTTAGTGTCAAACTTTTGGATTCTTTATTTATTAATTCATGTAATGGATTATTTGTTAATTCATGTGATGGATATTTTTCTATTAATAATCTTTATGGTCAATTTGTGTTTGCCTTCTAAAGCATGGATCATCAACCTCAAGAAATAAGAGGTCGTGGTAAGAACAAAAGAAAATGGAATAATGAGGAAGATGCTAAACTTGTGGATGCACTCCTTGATATGGTAAATCTTGGAACCTATAAGGCTGAAAATGGGTTCAAACCTGGCTACTTGAACTTTGTCGAGGACAAGTTGCGAGTCTCATTGCCTAACTCTGGTTTCAAGGCTAAACCACATATTGAGTCAAGAATTAAGACATTGAAAAGAGATTTCAATATTGTGTATGATATGTTAAATGGTCCAAATACAAGTGGATTTGGTATGGATCCGATAAAAAAATGCATCGTAGCCGAAAAGGCCGTATGGGACTCTTACTTACAGGTACTTATACAACTACATATGTTTGTTGGCTTCTGTCAAATTATGGTATATTGCTTTTTATTTTATTTTATTTTTTCATGGCTAAGAAAATTTGTAATGTGTCATGGTCTCATGTATCAGTATATAGCTTCATGTATCATGGTCTCATAATTTGGGTA